CAAAAAAAAAAAAAAAAAAAAAATTAGCCAGATGTGGTGGCACATGCCTGTAGTACTAGCTACTTGGGAGACTGAGACTGGAGAATAGCTTGAGCTCAGGAGTGTGAGGCTGCAGTAAGCTATGACTGCCCTACGGCACTCAGCATGGGCAACTGAGCATGTCTCTAAAATAATAGTAATAATAATAATAGTAATAGCTAAACATTTTAACAATGTACATGGACATCCTGCTCTGGTATGAAAGAAATGAGTCACTGATGTTTCTGTTGTTCAAAAGTCAATGTCAATAGTCCTAGAAGGACTTCTGGCTTCCCTGTTGAAGGACAGTAGTCTCACATCAAGTCCATGGTTTTGGATAGGAAATAAGGATGGATCTTGCAGAATTAATGTTGCACCAGGGTAACTTTCTTTTTACCCACTGGCCCTCAGTCAGATAATTCTAGGGAGCAAAATTACAAAGCCTTGGAGATGAGAGTGGACACAAAGTAAGTCAATAACTGAAAGATGGACAGGACCTAGGCCAAGTTGATGGGCTGTATGGAGAGAGTCGCATAGAAGGAATGCATGGTTCAGAGCAGGGAGGCTCTCTCTGTGTTCAGATGACTGAAGAAAGTGTATTTTCAACTGGAAACCTAAGTTCAGCAAGAAAGCACAGAGTCTCCCACATACCACACTCCAGAGTTCACCTGCTGGCCTGAGAAAACCAATCTCATGAGGTAAATATGACACTGGATTGAGTATCTAACTACCCAATAGTGATTTGTCTAATTCACTCCACTTAATCAAGCAGGAAGTTTTTGAACACTGAATAGTCAGTCAAGTGTAAGTTTTATTAAACTTCTGGTACCGTGAAAGAGTAGTGGGTCCTAAAGTAGCAACCTCAAAGAGGAGAAACACCATACTCCTTATATAAAAGAAATACTATTTTATCAACCTCTCCTGTGAACAATGGTTCTCAGGATACAAGAAGTTCTTTTTTAAGGAAAAAAAGGTTCTATGATCAAATGTATTTGGAAAATAAAGAAAATACAATTCTTTACTGTAAGTCCTCTGAGAACCTTTAATATGCAGACACCCTTTATGAATCTCCTCGTGGGATGTACCATGTTCCAAGTTTATTTGGCCACAGAACCCTTTTTCCATAGAGCATCTCCTGAGACCAGTTTTCTGTAAAACACATTAACAGCACAACCCTCCAAACAACTTTAGGAACTATTCTGTGGTACTCTGCAGGCTGAAAAATTATGAGGGTTGAAAAGAAATAGATATTTGTTGTTTTCAAAGACTAGTTAGAGTGATGTCTGAACCTAGTTCTGTGAGTCCTGCTGTCCCCAGTGCCCAGGGTAAGTACCACGAAGAAAACCCTAGGGGTGGGCTTATTACCCACCCTACTTCCTACCCAAAATCATAGAATTGATGTGAAATTACTGTTCTCCAACAGGGAAGCCAGAGGTTCTTCCAGGCCCACTGACATGGCCACTTGAACAACAGGAACATCAGTGACATATTTAGGAAGTTTTCAACCTCACTAGAAATTAAAGACCTATACATTAAAACAATACTAAAATGGTATCTTCGACCACCAGAATGACAATTATCAGTGTTTGTGTCAAGACAAGGAAATAAACGCTCCTGTGTGATCTTGGTTGGAGTGAATATTGCTACAATTTGTTTTATCTCCCTGGAGAATAATATGAAAAATATGTATATAGTCTTCTGAACCCTGGAATTCTATTTCTGGGAAATTATACCCAAAAAATAACAGTTAACAAAGATACACATATAAAAATAGTATTTGAAATGTTGTTTATAATAGGGAGAATTTCTCAACTGCCGATAATTAAATTGTGAACATACTAAAAAATAAAACATGATATTTCATATAATGGACTATAGGGAAGCCAGTAAAAATGAGAAAAAAGGAAGTCGATTCCTTGATATGAAAACACATTTATGATATACTTATAGTTTTAAGTGAAAAGTAGATGTAAGGACACCATGATTCCTTTTATGTTCAAATATGCATGCATATACATTATATTAAACACACAAACTCAAGAAAATTCCTGGATATCAAAATGTATGAAAATGTTAATAATAGTTATTTCCTAGCAGCGCAGTTTTAAGTTGGGGGAATCTATACATTTTCTAATTTTTTTCATGCTTTTTATTACTTGTATAAAAATGTCTTGGAAAAAACCCAGGATGCTTCCTTAATAGTATTTTTGATTCCACTGATGAGTATAAATGTCTGTGTGTGTGTGTGTGTGTGTGTGTGTGTGTGTGTGTGTGTGTGTGTGTAAGCCATTCAGCAAAACAAAACCATCTGCAAATCATTTTCTAGAGTAAGCCCACTTCTCAGTCCCAGGAAAACCCAAAAGGAAAACACAGGATGTGACACAGAGAAATAGAAGGAAGATCGGAAACTGCATCTCCCACAAATTGGCTGTTGGCACCTTCATCAAGAGCACAGATGAGGTTCCCTGGGATGGATTAGGAGCCCAGACTCTGTAAAACTCTCCATGGCTTGGGAGGTGGTCACAAGAGCTTAGTAGCGGAAAGGTGAAACCATCCAGGTGCTTTCCAGCCAATGACAACACATGCCTTTCTGTAGCTTAATGGCCTACCTTCTACTATGGGTGCCTGATAGGTCAGCCTCTCCCAACTGAGAACCAGACTGACTCCCATGCTTCTGTTGGTTGAGCAAAGCTCTGAAAACATAAACTTTGTCCTACTCTCTAAATCCAGGACCCCTGTTTTCTGTTAGAAAAGCAGAAGATGGAAATCTACTCCAGTGGCTCAGAATTTTTTTTTGAGGATCTGATAACAGTTGAAAGTTCCCCTTAGCACATAAATAAACATAAAACATTTCACATCTATTTTTGGAGATTCACAAACTTCCTGAAGCTCATTGGGGCTGGGGCGGGGGTGACTTCAAAGAAGGCGCACATTAGGCAGGATCCCCTAACCTAGAAGTGACTCCTCCCGCTCAGCATTCAGTGGCCATCAAGACCACTGGAGAAACCAGCCCTGCCCTGCCAACCTCACACCCCACCCTATTCTTCCCTGTCACTTTTATCTCTGTCAATAAAAATAAATGTAGTGCTGAGTGCAGTTTCTACAGAAGACACATTCGATACTTCTTTTCCACTTCTGATTTTCATTAACACTTAAACTTTTTCAGGTGTGCATGTAATGGCTCTTTTCTCGTGTTTCAAAGCCACAGCCCTGGAAAGCTACAGCAATGACAGTCTTGGCAAGTCAAAGTACCAAACACTGATTTCAGAAAAGCTTCATTTAATGACAACATAGTCAATTGCTTTAAAATAGTTCTCCATCCAAGTCATGCCTCGTTACATTTTGCAATGCTATTCGTATTTTGAAATACTTTATTCATGGAGGATTTAGAGCATTTTAACATCTGCAGTCTCAGGGATTTTGTGGTAAATCTGAAAACTCTGTCCATTGGATCACTTGCCTGTAAAGCCGGGTGCGCAGATGCACGTGCCATTCAGGCCTTCACTGTCACAGGTGGCTCCGTTCAGACAGCTGACGTTAGCGCAGGGATCCTTGTACAATTCACAGTGTGTTCCTGCAGAGAAACATGCAAAACAGGGTGACACATCAAGGACTCTACAGCTCCCATGGCCTTTGAAAGCAAAGTGTTCAAACAGACTGGGACTGGGATGATAGGAGAGAGATTCCCGGTGTGTGTGTGTGTGTGTGTGTGTGTGTGTGTGTGTGTGTGTGTGTGTGCACGCACATGCACACACACACATGTGAGTACACATGTGTATGTGCGTGCATGCACACACACTTGTGCCTACTCATGACTTTAAAGTGTTGTAAAACACATGCCTTAGAAGAAAACAACAACTCAATCCCTGCATATAGGTCCCACCATAAAGCTGTTTATTTGTACCTTCTCTGCCTACATGTCCCAAAGCCTGGGGGACAGAAAGTTAAGAGCCTGAAAGATAAAATTAAACAACAAATGCTTTCTAAGTCTCCAAAGAAAAAAATAGCTAGATGGCCTTTATAAAAATATCAGTATATTTGATAACTGCATCCTGAAGATGAAGATTTGGAATCAGATATTTAAATGAATCTTAAGTCTACTTTGGAGAACTATGAGAGGGGAGCCAGCCAGCACTTAGACTTTACTCTCAAAGGCATAATCAGTGCCCCACTCACTAAAGCTGTTTTGTACATGCCATGTTCCAGACCCTCAGTCTGTGCTTTATGGCTAATTTATTATTCCCAACAACACTATGAGACAAACAACCTATTCCCCCACTTTACAGATGAGGAAACTGAGGAAAAACTCCAAGATCACAAGCCTAGTAGGAGAAGGAGTTGGTAATCCCAATCCAGAATCTGTGCTGGTTAAGTGGTTTGCTAAGAGTGAGCTCAGAATGGCTGTGGAAATATATAAAACTCCATGGAACTCAGGACCCATTTCACAAAAAAGAGGCATTAAACAATCCATAAACAAGAAAGTTTACCATATATGTTTTTTAAAAGGTATAGGTGTACATGTATGTATGCAAATGCCTGAAGTAGGACTGAATTACTTCCTCGAGAATAGATTAATTTGACTTTCACATCTGTGTACTTCATTGTTGGCATTTTTTTTTTTTTTTTTTTTTGAGTTGGAGTCTCACTCTGTCGCCCAGACTGGAGTGCAGTGGCCGCTCCCGGCCACCACAATCTCGCCTGCTGGGCTCCGGCGATCCTTCCACCTCAGCCTTCCAAGTAGCTGGAATTACAGGCATGCGCTACCACGCCCGGCTGATTTTTTGATTTATTGTAGAGATGAGGTCTCGCTGCCCAGGCGGGTCTCGAACCCGCGGGCTCAGGCAATCCACTCACCTCAGCCTCCCAAAGGCGCGGGATTACAGGCTGAGCCACCGAGCCCGGCTATTGTTGGCGTTTTTTATGAGTATATATTATTTTATAATTTTATTTAAAACTTAAAAAATCCAATGCTATTTGAAAAGTGGGATATCCATTGGTGTTACATCGGGATGCCAAGACGAATAACTGGATTTCTCTCATGGGTTTCTCTCCCTCTCACTATCTCCCCCCACACCTGCCCCCTTCTTTGGAGAGGAAGATAAATTACATCCTATCCTGGATAAAGTTGTGCATAATGATATGCCCACCCTTCCCAACAGCCGCAAGAAAATAAGCACAAAGCAAATAGTAACTGAATGGCATTTCCTTAATTTGCTCTCCACTCCGTTACTTAGCTCATATTGTGCAAGGGAACACCACACCCAATGACTCATCATTTAAGCACCAAAATTATCCTTGCTGGGCTTTTCTCCCATTTATTTTTCAACACGTTAATAAGTAGGGCTCAGGAAGAAGGAAAGGAAGAAAAAATAGAAACAGAATTTTATATCTATATTCACACTAATGATTTACTTGAGCCAGGTAAGATATTTTAGAATGAATGGCCTTTAATTCCTTTTTATCCTTTGCCCTTTATAGCCAAGCCATCAGCAATACTCTGCCAGATATTTTTCTGAAGTGTCTTTCAGATCTTTGCCTTTCTTGTTTTCCTAAGACCACCACTGTGATCCCACTGTCTCATGCCTGGTGGGATACAGCCCCTGACAGCCATGTCCTAGTTTCCTCTCTCTCCAGGGACTTGAACAAGCCTTCTTGACTTTCATTATCCCTAACAAACCCAGGATGCATAGCAATAAAAAAGATCAAACTAATTTAAAGATTTGCAAAAATCTGGTCATTCGTCTTCATTTGGGTGTGTATGGCATCTTCTTCCAGAAGTCTTTGTTTTTATTTTCCTGCTGATTTTGGAGTAGCATGAGTGCCATTGAAAGAATAAAATGCAGAAGAAGCTTTCTTGGTACAAAATGTTTATCATAAAACAAGGATTCACATATCTATAAGTTCCAATTGGACTGATCAATGAGAACCAGGTGACAAAAAAGACTTTCAAGAGAAATAGAGCCACCACCAAAATTCAGAGATGTCTGAGGCCTACAATTCCATTAGACCAAAAGTAAAAGCAATCAAATTATTTCACTTGGTTTCTAGTAATAACTAACACAACTAACAAATTACCACATTTCAAATAATGCTGAAAAGCAAATTCTGGACTAACTATTTAAGTGTCTTAACCCTAGTTCTTCAGTAAAATAGATTTGATGAAAATGCCCAAGATAATAAGCAAGTTCAATCTTTGGGGTGTTCAGGTTGTTTTGAGGGGTGTTTTGGCAACAATTTTATCCCTTGTTATTTCTCTTTTTCAAATGGTAAGACATGTGGTCACTTGAGCATCCGTTGAGAGTTTTCTGGCAGCAGATGGACAAAAGCTAATCTTCACAGAAACACGATTACTGTGAAGCAAGATGGCGTTAAAAGTCCCCAGTGAGCACTTTGGTTACTCACATTTCTATACTCTAAGCCTTGCTCATCCCTACACAAAAAAAATTTGTCATATTGCTCAGCTTGTCATTAAAGCTGAACAACTCTGAGCTAGAAACTTTAAATAGAAAGAACAGACAGTCATGGATGCTATTGATGTGTCCAGGAGGCTCCACTCAAATCTTCCTCTTGAGGTCCCTGGACCCCACCTTCTTGCCCATCTCACCACTCCTACTCCCTAGGAACAGAGTCTTGAGCATCCTGTTTCCTCTGGCCAGTCCCCTTCTTTCACCCTGTCCCACAACTTGGCCTTCACCTGGCACACTTAACTCATCTGTCAAGTCCCAATCCAAATGCCCCCTCTCTGGAGAGCTGAACCTTGACTGTCCAAAGACAAACCACTTTCTTCTGCCATTGTGCACTGAGAGCATGCTGGGATTCCCATTGTTAGGGAGTTCACTGTGCCAAGTCATAACTTATCTACTTTCTTGTCTGATTCCCCTACAAATCTCTGAGGTCCCATGGAGCAGAGGCCATATCTTAATGCATGGAAGAAATTGTGGATAAAACACCAAAATCCTGTCCTTTCAGGAGAGGCAACGGCCAGTGTACTTTGGCTGACACAAAGGTGAAATTGCTAGAGATGAGAGAAGCCATTTTAAATTCCAAATGCAATTCATAAACACCCTATTTTGTCAGGGAAAACCAGGTCCACGCTTCAAACTAAGTCTGTGCAATGACATATGCATCACCCATTGGCAAAGGACGTAGCACACACTATTATGAAATGTATGTTTAGTCTCAAGCAAAAATAAACTGCAATTCAGTCAAAACTAATAAAAATTCATACTTTTCATATTAAGGAATGGAGAAGTAATGTTTCGAAAACGACTTCTGTTTCAATAGTTTCTTTACAGAAGTTAATTTTAGAATGGAAATGAGCAAGAATTCAAGGAGCAGGGCACCAATTATAAATCTGTGTTGTCATCACAAATTTAGTCACAATTAATATTTGAAAAGTGAAAATCATTTTTTTATCTCCAGGAAAAGTAAGGCAGGTAAAGAAAATTAACTGGAAGTGTTCTTTGTACTTAATATTTACTTTAAGACATCATCTTATTTTATCCAAGCTTACTTCCTCCATGAAAACTTTTCCAATATTTCAGCCTTCACAGAGCTCAACATTTTCTAAACCACTTCAGAAATTACAGCTGACATCTCAACCTTAGCTTCATTATTCCTTGTGTGTGTCAGACTCAGTCTGCTCTTCTGACTAAATAATAGCCTGAAGAAGAAAGGAACCCTGACTTACCCATTTTTATATCTATCACAATACTTGAGACAGGATAAGCACACAAAATAACCAGAAATTCTTGTTCACTGGATAAGCAGAATTTAGTAAAGGGAATAGTTTTATCCAACAAAGAAAGAGTTACCATCCTTTCAGTTAAAATTTCTGTAGCCTTTAAAAATAAGCAAGTAGCTACAATGTGATCAAATCTATAATCCAGTGATCGCATTTCTGAGACTCTATCCCTTAAAAAATAATCCAGAAAGTATGAACATTATATAAATAAAGATACTCATCCCAGAAATATTTATAATAGCCCCACATCAGATGCAAAAACAAGGCAATGGAGAAATATTTCGTCATGGGAACATTACAGAGCCATTTAAAATAAAACTAGTAAGATTTCCTAGAAATATACAAATCAAACATAATATCTTGGTAAGTGTGAGCAGAACAATACAAAAAGGTAGATATATGCAATTATAACTGTAAAAATATGGATACTAAAAAGAATGAAAACAATACAAATTATTATGACTTTTGTGTTATGTTGTAAAAGCATGATTAGTTTTGAATTGTCTCTTTTTTCTAAATTTGTATCGTTATTTTCATAATTAAAAATTGATTTTTTTTCTAACTTTTGACCCCCAAGATTTTAAATTGGTATAGCTATTGTTAATTATTTAATTTGTTCAGCTAGAAATGAAAATCAATATAACATCGGACTGCACCTTGATTTTTTGACAATGTGAGTGATTATGAACACTAATCAAAGTCTTTTAAGTCCTAGCACTAAGTAGCTTTGAACAAGTTTTGAAGAAAGTATCAGCATTGTTATATGTCTGAAGGGAGGTTACACTGAATCCCTCCATGTATTTTGCTTTCTAATAATTTCATGATTTACA